AGGTAGCTGTTTCTTGTTTCTTGTTTATAGTGAATTTGTCCACACATATATACTGATATATATATATATATATATATATATATATTAGATATAGCACCAGCCAATGCTTGACATATATACGTACACATTCACTCATCCGCAAGAAGCGTCTTCTCCCACCACGCCAGCTCCTCTTCCAGGGCCAGCATCTGGCTCTGCGGCTTCTTGAAGATGTGCCCCTCTCCGGGCAGGACCACCAGCCTGACGTCCCCGCCGCCCCCCCTGTCGCGGATCTTGTCCCGGATCTCCATGGACTGCTCGATGGGCACGATGGTGTCCCGGTCGCCGTGCACTAGCAGTAGCGGCGCCGTGATGCGCTCGGCCCGGAACAGCGGCGACCGGTCGCGGAACCGCGCCTCCTTGTCCTCGGCCGTCCACTCCCTCCCCTCCTCGAGCAGCAGCAGGTCCATGTACCTGCTCTCCAGCTTGTGCGTGCCAACCACGAGGCCCTTGATGTCGGAAACGCCACAGTGGCAGACGCCGCCGGCGAACACGGCCGAGTGCCACACCATGCTCTGCAGCACCAGGTAGCCGCCGGCGCTGCCGCCCTGGATGCCGACGCGGGAGCCGTCGACCAAGCCCTGCTCCGCGAGATAAGCCACGGCCTCGGGCACGTCGTCGCGGTCGAGCACGCCCCAGCCGCCGCCGAACAGGCGCTCGCGGTAGGCGCGGCCGTGGCCGCCCGACGAGCCCGTGTAGTTGATGGCGAAGACGGCGAAGCCGCGCGAGGTCCAGTACTGTACGCCGCCCATGTCCAAGCCGGGCGTTGTGTGGCCCGTGGGCCCGCCGTGCGAGACGACGATGAGCGGGGGCAGGGTGCCCGCGGGCGCGACGTGGTCGCCGTCGCTGTGCGGTGGCCAGAAGAAGCCGTGCACAGGGCGGACGGGGGCGCCTTTGGTTGTGAGCTGGACGTGGCGCGGGGTCGAGAAGACCTCCCGGGGCATGTGCTCCATGACGGAGCTGTACATGCAGGACGAGGTCGGCTCCAGTGTCGGGGAGAGCGAGACGCGGTAGAGGGCCGACGGCTCGGTGTGGCCGCTGCCGCGGACGATAAAGGTCGAGGCGTCGACGGGCGCGAGCGGGTCGAAGCGCAGCTCGTGCAGGTTGATGTCGAGGGGCGTCCATTTCCGCGACGGGATGTCCACGTGGACGAGGTGGCTGGTTCCAAACTTGGTGTAGGACGCGATCATGGCCGTTTCCGAGAGAAAGACGAACGTCTGGCTGTGGGAGAAGGTCAGCGGCATCCCCGTTTGGGCCAAACTTGGTCAGCCCTAGGAGGAACACGGGGTTTTCCATCAGCTCACCACCCATAATACCAGGAGGCGTCGCCAAACTCAGCCTCCTCGAGGCCGTCCAGCTTAAAGTGTCGCTCTCTCTGCGCGGTAGAGACGCCCTGCCCCGGGCGGACGGTGCAGAGCTGGCGGTAGTCCATGCCCTCCAACTCCTGCGTGTAGAACAGCGTGCCGTCGGGGGCCCAGCGCAACTCGGCCACGCTCTGGCCGCCGTCGCCTGCCACCGTCTCTACGCCCCTCAACTCTGCGCCGCCGCCCTCGGCGTCCTCGCAAAAGTCGGCCCAGCGGAGCCGGACGTTAAGGAACGGCAGGTTCGGGTGGTCCCACTCGCGCCAACAGACCTTGGCCCCGTCCGGGCTGAAGCGTGGGTACGAGTAGAAGTCGGCGCCCGTCGCCAGGCGCCTCACGGCGCCGGAGTGGATGTCGATGACGGAGACGTAGTTGCGCACTTCCTCCCCGGCCTCGACGCCGCCGTGGTCCTCCTCCTGGCACAGCACCCAGGCCGAGCCGGGGGTCGGGTGCGGGTCGAAGTCGCCGAAGCGCAGCGTCGCGCTCTTGATGAGGGTGCGGACGTCGCCCGAGTCCACGTCCAGCAGCTTGCACGACTGGTCTTGCGTGTCCGAGAAGACGATGCGCAGGCCGTGGCCGCCGCCATCCTCGTCGGCGGCGACCAGTGCATACGGCAAGCCCCCATACTCGTAGATGAGCGAGTCGCAGTTGTGGCTGGGTGCCAGGAGCTTCAGCTCGCGAAAGGGGCCCTGGGGCACGAGCTCGCAGATCTGGTTGGAGCCGTTGCGTTTGGCCGAGAGGCAGAAGAAGCGCTTGGATCGGGGCTGTGAGATCGAGGCCGTGTCAGGATGTCTGCTCTGTTGCCCCACTTAGAAAGCGAGACTTATCAAGGCGCATACACAAGCTCGTGGGTGTTTCAGCTCCCGATTGCCCATAGTGGCATGCTCAACGCTGATGCGACTCTTCCACCGGCCATAAGGGGCTTCTTTGGGCTTGGCTGTCATGTTGGACTTGGATGTTGATGTTACTCGTATTGTCCAAGGTGCTGAGGGTGAGATCCTCCGGAGGGGGGGGGGGGGGGGTGGGGGGGGGGGGCACGCGACGTGTTCCGTT